TAGCCCAACAAGTACCAGATCTCCATGTGTGCCTGACCAATTGTCATGTTTTATTATGCGCCTTTATATATTTATTGTTCAAATGCAAGCAAGCATATTGACAAGAAGTTGTCAGTGTGTGTATGTGTGGGTATGTGCATGATCGGAATGTTGCCACTTATCTTCAGCTCTGGAACAGCAGAAGCTAGAAAACTGGAATTTCACAGAGGTTTTCTAGTCCAGGTTCAGTTCAAACAAATTAAACTCAACGCCCACGTTCGCCAGGGCTTCAGGTACGGGCTTCCAAAAGATATGCAGATTTTCTGGCGAGGAAGTGATTTCAAGAGCTGGACGAGATGGAAAATTGAAACTTCACCTGAATATTATTGTACCTTTTTGTGAGCTAAACCCTCATATTCAACATCAACGCACGCCTAAATCACGTGCAGAAACAGGTGAAACTATCAAGGTGTATTCGTTGACAAAATACAGACTCTTCAGTTAAATCTATTTTTTGAGAACATTTGTTGTCCACACGGAGACCCGTAAACGCAGTAACAGTTTTCGTGTGCGCCTGTGCCACACTCAGTAATGGCAAGACACATATTTTGCAGAATAGATGCATTCTGTGCCATCCGTCAGACTGCGAAGCTGTAATTTTGTAAGTGCGATCTGGTGAGTTTAAATCCAGTTTTGCAAACGGCTAAGTGCCGTGACAACTGCGAATAAAGTTTTAGTTTTGGGAAATTTTTGCCTCTATTTAGCCTTGCAACAAGAGGAAGCCGCATACCAGTTGTTCGTACGCGAATGTGAAAGCCTAAGCCTAATTCTTACACGCACGCCTAAAATGTTCAAACGGTAATACTTATCTGTCTCTTCCAGTAATCAAAAAGGTGAGCAAGCGTAAATGTTATGAGAACGCTTGCAAGTATTTTGCGTAGCATTCAGAGCGTAATATTGCTTACAAAATCATACGCGTATTTATTTGTAAAATCCTTGGTTACCTTTATTCAAGGTAATTACGCACAGTTTCAGATATAAAGTTTGCTTACGATGCAAGCTATCGCATCAGCCATTAGGCGACCTGCAGCAACAAACAAAACCTCGAAAACTCAAAAACTTGTCAAAAAATGTGGCTAAAATTTTATCAGCATATTTATCGCCCAAATGACAAATCGTGTACCTAAAATGAGTACTGACTTGCACTTGCGCCACTACTTAGAGCATTTCAAAGATATTTTTAGCGAAGTGGCTATTTCGCTTACCGGATGAGCTGTGAGGCTGAAACTTCGCTGGGATATTCTATTTTCACGCATGGCCTTAATTCTACTTGTAAGTGAAATTCCCTGTAGGTGTTTACGAGAAATACTCAACTTTACCACAGCCTGTGAAGCGAGTGCATTTTACAGCGAACGACTGCCCTCATCTTCTTCTAGCATGTTAATGAACTCTTTTACAAATTTCACTTTTTTATGCGTTTTAATATGCAAAAACACATATTGTGACGACCCCGGCGTGCGTCTGTATGTGTGTGTGTGTGTGTGTGTGTGTGCTTGCGTCTGTCCTGGTATTTCAACTCGGCATCCAAGCAAGCTCCGGCGCCAAAATTTTGGGAGTGGGTTCCCCGGCCAAGTGCCACCCCAGGACCGCAGTACCAACCCTCAAGCACGTCTAGGCCC